ATGCCAAGAGTAACAACCGTTGACATTCCAAATACACTGCATATATTGAAGGAAATTCAACAACCAGTGGAGTTCTCCATCATTAAGAAACCAACTCCCATTAAACATCCACCTTGGTTTGATATTTCCATTCATTTTGTTTATAATTTCTCATATTCTAACATTGATTTAATTTGCAGGAAATCAATTCATATACATGGGATTATCCTACCCAACGTTGATGCATCAAGCATGAAGGATGATTCAAATGACACAACTTGTAAAATGGAGGAACAAAGAGGCATGATCCGTGGAATCTTAAGAGAAATATCTTTTCAAGTGCCAAAAGCTATAACTTTTAATTCAATGGACATGATTTTTGAAGAACTAAACAATATGTCTTTTGGGGCACCAAGAGATATGATCATTGAAGACAATATGTCTTCAAAATAAATGACTCTAGACCATTCAACAAACATAGACTGGGAGTATTTCTTTCACTTATTAACCATTAATCATTCTCTTACTTATGAGATTCCTTTCTATTTTCAGGTCATGGACACTCAAGGAACTTATTCCAAGGATGTTTTTTTATAAAAATCATTTCATAAAGATAACTTATGAATGGGCGTACAATTTGGAGAAGTCACCTTTCGATTTGAGGACAAATCGCCCAAAAGAAGGGGAGGATGATGTGATCCTGTCTAGCACCAACTTTTTGCATGACATTCACTCATCATTGAAAATCCATCAAGCTCAATATAAGGGAGTTCTACCTTACTTTATATTATATTTACTCATTTATGCACTATATATTATTATGAGCACTATATATTATTATGCACCAACATGTGCATTCATTTATTATGTGCTATGGTTTGCATCATTGATTGATATTCATGCATATAATCTATAGTTGTAATAATAATATTCATTCATTATCATATGATGCATGAATTATTATTATAACCTATAGTTCACATCTTTATAATATGCACATTCTTATTACTTTATAATAATTCATATACTTAGCTAATATTATGCTTTCTTTTGTAGATGCAAGTTCGGCCACATGATGGGAGCTGACTTAAAGCTAGCATTGGAGTCCAAGAGCTATGGAAACTTAACTAGGATAATTCAGGGACAGCTCAAGAACATTTTGGGACAAAGTTGCCAGCTGACACCAAGCTCATAGTTGACCCCAAGCCCATAGCTGACTTGAGCTGGATTTTTGAGCTAGCTAGAGACCTCAATTCAGCTGGAGAGTTACACCATCATCTTCACCACACAGAGCACTACAAGCATGTTCTAGGTCAAATTTTGTGAATTCGTACCTTTTCGCGAAGAGTTGCCAATCCGAGAAGTGCCCCTTCACAAGAAGCTGTCCTATGACTCATCTTCATGCATTTCATCTATGGCCAGCTCATCTTCAGCTCAAACACATGGGAAGTAGCTCAAATGATGAAAGGATGCTTCACACAAATGTGCCCTTTCATAATTAATAGCTGCCCCATTGATGACATGCCACCTAGATGTTAGATGGATGCCAACTCACACAAAGTTTCTGCTCATTTTCAAACCAAGGAGAAGCCACACCATAAGTTTCCTATGCCGACTATGTGAGTGCCTCATGATCAGCCCACCCATGTGCCATGCTTGTGGATGAAATGGGTACCAAAATGAAGAGGCCTATCTTTATTCGGCCAAAGCATCACCTTGCTTCAAGTTGGCACCAAGATGAAGAGACAAGGGAATGATTCGACCAAAGACATCTCCCCTCATCCATGCATCATTTATTTTCAATTAAGAAATGCATTTTACCGAATGGACATCTAATTATTCGGCCAAAACTATGCAAGCTTATAAATAGGGCTTTGATATTTCATTTGTACTTAACCCTTTTGATAAATTAAACTCTTGTGAGATTATTCTCTCTTTAAGTTCTTTTTAGAACTATATCGATTAAGCAAGCTTTCATAGTTTGTGGTGTCAAACCCCTTTCATTGATACTTCTGGTTCCTGGTTTATATAACTAGTGGGTCAAAGTCCTTGCTACCATCCCTTGTAAAACTTATAAGAAATAGGTCTTTGCTCCTTTATAGCATTGGTTCCTTCTTAGTTTTATAAGATACTATCTATTTCCATTACCATCTTTCCATCACCATCCTCCATCATCATTCACGCCCATATCATCAATCTTTCCATTAAACCATCCTTCATCCATTAACAAGGCATACTTCTTCACCACCATTGGAGGCTGAAGTTAACATCACTTGAAGGAGATTTATTCAACACTTCTGCAGCCATCTTTGAAAACATTCTTTCACTTTCAATCCTTTCCATTTCCATTTCCTTTCTTAGTTATCCATTTATTTAACAACTTCTCATTCCTTATGCAGATTACTTCCAATTCAACGTGTAGCATTTGGTGTCTATCCTAGATCGATAAATAATAAGGTTGCAAACTTCTCCATTATGGAAGAGGCCTAGTTAGCCTTACATCACAATGTTTACTGGTAGTATTTTGCCTAAGTTTGTTTTAGCTCTTTTAGGGGTAGTGGCCTGGCACCCCCTCCCACACCCCGGGGGGGCGAGGCAGCGCCTAGCGCTAGCACAGGTTAGGCCCCCATCACCGGTGGGGATAGTCAGACATGGTAGCCGGAAGGACGTGATCCTGTGAATGGTCGGTGCGCCCAATACTCATAAACCCTTCCCCATATCTTGGGCGAGGTATCAGCTCAGAGTGGTGTAGCAACCACCTGTGCATTGGTCATTGTCTTTCCATGTTCGGCCAAACTCGGCAACTGCTCATCGCTTTGGTCTAGTCCGTGTGCTCTATTGGCTCTGTGTTACTTGCCGAGACATTTTTCACCCAGTACCAAGTCCTTTGATGGAAATTGCCTACTGGGGGAGCGAGATAAGACATCCAGGGTACGCATCAGACTAGATAGAAGCCCTGAGCGGGTTATGCTGCAAGCCCACCTCTCACTAAAGCAGCTGGACAGCCTTTCCTCTAAAACAAAAAAAATACACCCCCCAAAAAAAAGCTTCGCAAAAAGGCCGTAAAATATTTGAACCAAAACAAACTTGTCGCTGTTGGTTGCCTTCGTGATGGGAAATTGGTGGGTATACCCGCCTATGTTAGTCTTCATTCCAAGCGATTGTGGTGTGCCCTCGTTCATTATTTCCTCCACTCCTCGGCCAATCATTGGTCGTGTGTGTTGTGAACCAGTGGGTGTGGATGCTACTACTTTTACGCAATGGGCATATGAGTGGTGATATAGTTGTGTGTGTCAGCAGGCTCAGTGCTACATGCTTCAAACTGTCGAGCTGCACTCCTCTTCAATGTCTCCCCTTGCGGTCTTCGAACCCAAGGGGTACGATCGGGATCCTGTGTTGCATACCTAAATCGATGGAATTTCGGATGTATTACCGTCCCTCTACCATAATGTGACCTTGTGCCTACGTGGTGGACTTAAGTCGTGCCCGGTGTCCCGTGTGTGCGTTTTATGTATACTCAGCCACGGCGGTGCATCGGTGCTCGATCGTTCTTTCGGATACGAAACATTTTGTGAGCGTAGGGTCCCTCGGCCCCATCGCTCGATGCCTACACATTTTTGTCCCTCGACATGAACGATGCTCGTGCCTGTTATGGCCTCGTCCTCTGCGCAGGCATCGGATTGAGGACTATACGGTGCCCGACGTCGCGAAAGAATGGTACCTGGTTGATCCTGCCAGTAGTCATATGCTTGTCTCAAAGATTAAGCCATGCATGTGTAAGTATAAACTAATTCAGACTGTGAAACTGTGAATGGCTCATTAAATCAGTTATAGTCTGTTTGATTATATTTTCTACTCAGATAACCGTAGTAATTCTAGAGGTAATACGTGCAATAAACCCTACCTTCTAGAAAGAATGCATTTATTAGATAAAAGGTCGACGCGGGCTTTACCCGTTGCTCTGATGATTCATGATAACTCGACGGATCGCATGGCCTTTGTGCCGGTAACACATCATTCAAAATTCTACCCTATCAACTTCCGATGGTAGGATAGTGGCCTACTATGGTGATGACGAGTGATGGAGAATTAGGGTTCGATTCCAGAGAGGGAGCCTGAGAAATGACTACCACATCCAAGGAAGGCAGCAGGCGTGCAAAATACCCAATCCTGACACGGGGAGGTAGTGACAATAAATAACAATATCGGGCTCTATGAGTCTGGTAATTGGAATGAGTACAATGTAAATCCCTTAACGAGGAACCATTGGAGGGCAAGTCTGGTGCAGCAGCCATGGTAATTCCAGGTCTAATAGTGTATATTTAAGTTGTTGCAGTTAAAAAGCTCGTAGTTAGACCAAGGGGTGGGTAGGCCGATCCGCCTCACAGTGAGCACCGGTCTGCTTGTCCTTACTGTTGGTGATGTACTCCTGGCCTTAATTGGCCGGGTTGTTCCTCCGGCACTGTTACTTTGAAGAAATTAGAGTGCTCAAAGCAGGCCTACGCTTGTATACATTAGCATGGGATAACATCACAGGATTTCAATCCTATTGTGTTGGCCTTCGGGATCGGAGTAATGAATAACAGGGACAGTCGGGGGCATTCGTATTTCATTGTCAGAGGTGAAATTGTTGGATTTATGAAAGATGAACAACTGCGAAAGCATTTGCCAAGGATGTTTTCATTAATCAAGAACGAAAGTTAGGGGCTCGAAGATGATTAGATACCGTCCTAGTCTCAACCATAAACGATGCCGACCAGGGATCGGCGAATGTTGGTTTTAGGACTCTGCCGGCACTGGGATCGACCCCTCCACGTCTCAGAGCACTGGGATCGCTTGCTCCCACATGCACTTCGTGCTGTTGGGCGGCACGACCCAGTGTCTCTGAGGCAAAAAGAGTAACCCCCAACGTGAATCGCGACAAGGAATTAAAATGAAAAGGCAGTCGTGTCTTGTCCCCTCCCTGTTCGCGGTGTACGTGCGGCATAGATACGCATGCCTTGTCGTGAAAACACAAAAACAACTCTCAGCAACGGATATCTCGGCTCTCGCATCGTTGAAGAACGTAGCGAAATGCGATACCAGGTGTGAATTGTAGAATCCTGTGAACCATCGAGTCTTTGAATGAAGTTGTACCTCAAGCCATTAGGCTGAGGTCATCTCTGCGTGGGTTACACACATCGTTGGACCCATCCGAACCTGAACCATAGGGTATCGGTCGAGGTGTGGGTTTAAATTGGCCTCCCGTGCGCAAAACGCTCATTGTTGGCCTAAAATTGAGTACACGATGTCACGTTATCGCGACGATTGGTGGTAATGCCTTGAGCAGTCTCGTTCTGAGTGGTGTGCGCTAGTCGATCTGGACTGTATGACCCTCTTGGCATCGTACTTGCGGTGCTCGCATCGTGACCCCAGGTTAGGCGGGACAACCCGCTAAATTTAAGCGTATCACTAAGCGGAGGAAAAGAATCTTATAAGGATTCCCTTAGTAACGACGAGCGAACCGAGAAGAGGCCAACTTGATAATCGGTCGCCCTCAGCGTCGGAATTGAAGCGTCCTCAGCGACGGGCCGGGCTCAAGTCCCCTGGAAAGGGGCGTCGTAGAGAGTGAGAGCCCCATCGTGCTCGGACCCTTTCGTACCACGAGGCACTATCTACGAGTCAGGTTGTTTGGGAATACAGCCCTAATCGGACAGTAAATTCCGTCCAAGGCTAAATACAGGCAAGAGACTGATAGCGAACAACTACCGCGAGGGAAAGATGAAAAGGACTTTGAAAAGAGTGTCAAAGAGTGCTTGAAATTGTCGGGAGGGAAGCGGATTGGGCCAGCGATGCACCCCGGTCGGATGTGAAATGGCGACAACTGGTCCACCGATCAGCTCGGGGCATGGACCAATGCGGATCGTGGTGGCGACCCAATCCCAGGCCTTTGATATGCCCACGGAGACGTCGTCACCTCGATCGTGGAACCCAGTATGCACCATCTTAATATTTGAAAAATAAATAAATATTATTAGTTTAAACAAATATATATATATATATATATATATATATATGTTTATATGATTAATATAATAATGAAATAATAATTAAAGTAATAATTTAAGCATATTGGAATTGAAATGATAATAAATTAAATTAAATAGTGACTAAATTAAAACTATATAGTTTAAAATATAAAGCGATAAAGCTTGTGATTGAAAATATTAAAATTAATGACTAAATTAAAATATATTAAAATTAAATATCCTAAATCATAATTAATTATTTAAAATTTCAGTGGCTAAACATGCTATTCTACCCCTTTATTAATTTAGTGACTAAATTAGAATTGTGTAAAATTTGAACATCAAATTAAAATAAATTAAAACATGTTGTTCAGGATTAAAATATTAATTTCTAAAATTAAAGGATTAAATCTGTTATTTACTTAAAATATATATAATTACGGTTAAGGACTAAAATAAAATAAACTAAAAATTATAAGACCAAATTAACAAGTTCAGAATTTAATTTCAATGACCAACTCGTAAAATTACAAAACTGCAGGTATGGCGGAAAGGGTTTGCCCATAATAGAAATTACAGAAATGCCCTCCCCCAAAACGGTGTCGTTTGGGAGAGGGTATATAAACCCTTTAATCGGCCTTCTTGGGCCATTTTTCCTTCATTTCTCATTTCATCTCTCTCTCTTAAAGAGAGAGATGAAGCTCTCTCTCTGCCATCTCTCTTCAATTCCCTCACCTGAGGGAAATGAACTCCGATCGGCAGCCGCGCTCCGGTCTCCACCACCGCCGTCGGCCACCGTTATCGGTGGTCGGAAAATTATAAAATCTCTCAAAACATAGATTGGGACGATCTAAAACTGAATCTGACCCCCTTTCCCACAAAGCATCTCCTATTTACATAGATCTAGAAAAAAATACCTTCGGTATTTTGCTTCTACGGCGGCCTATGAACTCCGGTGGCGTCGCAGCTTCTTCGGTAAGGCTTCTCTCAATTTTTGTTTCGATCTTTTGATGGTTTGGTTGCTGTGTTCTCTGGCTTTGTGTTTTTTGGGTTGCTCTCCGTTGGTTGCTTCCTCTTTTTTTTGCAGGGGAAACGTGGCTTTATAGCCTCGGTGAGGCTCTCGTCGGACCAGTCCAGAGGATGAAAGCCTTGGTGAGTCACCAAAGCTATGCTGGTGACTTACTGTAGAGGTGACGTGTGTGGCTATCATCGTGGCAGCAGAGCTTCTGGAGGCTTCAACGATGAGGTGGCGTGGCACTGGAGGCAGCGGCGGCTGGGACGTGTCCCTAGGTTTATGATACCCTACTGTTTCCTTGTTGGGACCATCTGGGCCTTTGGATCAAAACTAGATCCAACGGCAGCAAGTTGAGGCGGCTGGATGATGATATGTAAACCCTAACTGAATATAGGGTTACACATTTGGGCTCTGTTGGGCTAGTTCAACTTGGGTCACTGGGATTTGTATCTGTAATAAAATAATAATAATAATAATAATATTTTATTAATAATAATAATAATAATAGTAATAATAATAATAAATAAAATAAAAAAACCAAATGTAAAAAAAACTAATGTCTTCAGCTGCCCCTCTTTGCTCATTCTTGTGTTAACAAGAATAGGGCAAAGACGAAAAGACAATAATTTTTTTTCATTTGACTTCATTTGATTATGATGGCAATGTTGAACAAATTCTTCTTTGGGATTAGTTCTTCTCATTATGAACTTTTCTACTGGGGATGATGATTTATCTCATTATGTGATGTAATCTAGCAAAAGGTTAAATAAGTTCTTTCTCTTCATATGAGTTCTTCTCATTATGAACTCCTTCTAGAAATGTTGATCTTCAAAAGAGGTGTCGTTGATTCAACTTCATATGTGATGAATTAAGGCAAGGTTGAACAAATTCTTCTCATTATGAATTTCTTCTCCTTCTTCAGATGAGTTCTTCTCATTATGAACACTTCTGGAAATGTTGATGCTGATATATCTCCTTCTGTGATAGAGTCAAGCAAAAGGTTGAACAAGTTCTTATTATTATGAACTTCTTTTTCTTCTTCAGATAAGTTGTTCTCATTATGAACTTTCTCTGGAAAAGTTAATCCATCGAGTGATGAATTCGAGCAAAAGGTTAAACAAATTCTTCTCATTATGAATTTCTTCTTCCTTCTTCAGATGAGTTCTTCTCATTATTAACTCTACCTGGCAATGTTGATCCATCAAATGATGAATTCAAACAAAAGGTTGAACAAATTCTTCTCATTATGAACTTCTTCTTCCTTCTTGAGATGAGTTCTTCTTATTATGAACTTTCTCTGGAAAAGCTGATACATCAAGTGATGGATTTGAGCAAAAGGTTGAACAAGCTCTTCTCATTATGAACTTATTCTTCCTTCTTCAGATGAGTTCTTCTCATTATGAACTTTCTCTGGAAAAGCTGATCCATCAAGTGATGGATTTGAGCAAAAGGTTGAACAAGCTCTTCTCATTATGAACTTCTTCTTCCTTCTTCAGATGAGTTCTTCTCATTATGAACTCTACATGGCAATGTTGATCCATCAAGTGATGAATTCAAACAAAAGGTTGAACAAATTCTTCTCATTATGAACTTCTTCTTCCTTCTTCAGATGAGTTCTTCTCATTATGAACTTTCTCTGGAAAAGTTGATCCATCAAGTGATGGATTTGAGCAAAAGCTTGAACAAGCTCTTCTCATTATGAAATTCTTCTTCCTTCTTCAGATGAGTTCTTCTCATTATGAACTTTCTCTGGAAAAGCTGATCCATCAAGTGATGGATTTGAGCAAAAGGTTGAACAAGCTCTTCTCATTATGAACTTCTTCTTCCTTTTTCAGATGAGTTCTTCTCATTATGAACTCTTTCTGGAAATGTTTATCCATTGTGATGGATTTGAATCTTTGCTAAAATCTTTGAAATTCATGTCAACATTTAAAATGGATAAAATGAATGGAAATGCACCTATTTTTGCAAATGCCTAAATATGATGCATGAATATTAAGTTCATTTTTATTTGATTTCAAAGTTGTGAACTCGGTCTTCCTTCACTTGGTCAAAATGTCATTTCAAATTGCATTTCTGATTTGGAAGAGCAATCTTTGTGTCTTCTTTGCTTCATTTAAGTCTTAGAAGAAATTTTTCATTTATGGAACTCTTGTCGTAATCAAAATTATAACCTTGATGCCCAATTTTGTCTTGGATAAAACCAACTTTCTCTGCTTGGACTTGTGCAGAAATTCAATAAAGCTTTCATCTTTGAAAAGAGAATCTATCATCTTTGAAGAGTATAGATGTAGATATGTCAAACTCTGCAGAGATTAATTAGGAGAGTAGAGTTTGTTCTGATTTGACTCTTGAAACACATCACAAGGAGTATTTATCCTAATTCCTTTCATGTCTTCACATCGAATCAGATCTCGAATAAGGCAACTTGGATCATATCATGTTGAGATGTTTAACAACAACCTATCGTTCAACATTAGTTGGCTCCACTAGTTTTTTGTTGTTAAAATTTCTGCTTCCCTTCTATGGAAGGAAATCTTCATCATATTTCACTTCTGACCTTGGGGTTGAAGAAGACAAACTTCATTTTGGATCCATAAATGGAAATACCATATGATTGCAACATTGGTTCAATACCAGAATAACTGGTTCGTAAAACATTTGACAACACATTCATCATCTCATGTGGTTTCTGCTCAGATGTTTGTAAAGTATTTGACAAACATTCATCATTTCTTGTGACTTCTGCACAGATTTCTGGTCAGTGAAGCTCTTTGCACAGTGTCCAAAGCTTTTGTATGATGTCACAAGACCACTTGAAAACAAAATTCAATGGGAATATAAATGGAATGCTGGCATGACAAAAAAATTGGTCAAATTCACAAGATATGCTAGTGTCGAATTGAATAAGAGATACCAACTGATCTTGATATCGTCTCAGGCAAGGGTAAGTGTGATATTCATCACGTTTTCTTCCATAACAAGTGTTGTAGGAATTAGAAACACATCAGCTATAGGGGCCATGTACAGAACGATATCCATGGAATTCTTGCCGCTGGGGATGAAACGCACAGGATAAAACCAAAATAGATGAAAACTCAAGTTCAGCCTGGCTGGCAATGATAACCCCAGTAACATCGGGAAAGAGCAATA